CTTTGCTGTATCCTGTACCTCTTGCTGAACAGCCCCAAGCCCAGCACTAGTGGCAGCTGGCCTTGGTTTGCAGCTTGGCCTCTTGAGTCACTTCCAGGCCCAGTGAAGGTGGAGACCACCTGTAGATTGCTTTATGATTCATATCAGATGGCCCCAAGCAGGGCACAGGCTGTGACTGAACTTGGCCTGTGGTGGGTACCCTCACAGGACGCTCCAGGGCAGCACATCAGGTGGCCAGCTTCAGACTGAACAAAAGTATAAGCTAGCTGCTTCCCAGGACAACACACCCAAAAGGCAGACTGGGAAGACACCAGGGCCCTGCTAAAGTGAATCCTGCTCTGCAGGGTCAGCCCCTGCACAACAGCTCCTCCACTGTAGTCACAGCCAGTCCTCACAACCAATCAACCTGATAGTCATTCCCTCATATTGACATACAAATAGCAACCAAGGCTCAACTACAATAGGAGGGCACACACAGCCCACACAAAGCACATACCTGGAATACCTGGATCAGGTGACCAGGGAGACTGTGCCACTGGGTCCCACAGCATACTTACTAAATAAGATCACTCTACCAAGACTGGGAGATATACCAGCCCTACCTAATACAGGGAGGCAGCCAAAATGGGGAGACAAAGAAACATTTCCCAAATAAAAAAAACAGAACAATGTTCCAGAAAAAAGAACTGAACAAAATGGAAACAAGTAATCTACCTGATGCAGAGTTCAAAACACTAGTTATAGAGATGCACAATGCTCTCAGGGAGAACTTCAACAAAGAGATAGAAAACATAAATAAGAACCAATCAGAAATAAAGGACATAGTAACTGAAATGAAGAACACATTAGAGGGAATCAAAAGATTAGATGAAACAGAGGATCAAATCAGTAATTCAGATAATAAATCAGAACAGCCAAAAGAAAAAAGAATCCAAAAAAATGAGAATAGTTTAAGGGGCCTCTGGGACAACATCAAGTGTACCAACATTTGTATCAGAGGGGCACAAGAAGGCAAAGAGAGAAAGCAAATAATTGAAAACCTATTTGAAGAAATAATGACAGAAAACTTCCCCAACCTGGCATAGGAAATAGACATACAAACTAAGGAAGCACAGAGAGTTCCAAACAAGATGAACTCAAAGAGGCCCACACCAAGACACATTATAATTAAAATGCCAAAGGTTAAAGACAATAAAAGAACCTTAAAAGCAACAAGAGAAAAACAGTTAGTTACCTACAAAGGAGCTCTCATAAGACTTTTAGGTGATTTTTCAACAGAAATTTTGTAGGCCAGAAGCGACTGGAACAAAATATTCAAAAAGATGAAAAGCAAAGACCTACAATGATTACTGTACCCAACAAAGCTATCATTTAGAATTGAAGTACAGATAAAGAACTTCTCAGACAAGAAAAAGCTAAAGTTCAACACTACCAAACCAGTGTTACAAAGAATGTTAGAGGGACTTTAAGACAGAAAAAAATAAAAATAAAAATAAAAATATGAATAATAAATGGCAGTAACTACATATCTGTTACCAATTACTTTAAATGTAAATGGATTAAATGCTCCAATCAAAATATAGGGTGGCTGATTGGATAAGAAAACAAGACCCTTACACTTGCTGCCTATAAGAGACTCACTTCAGATCAAAGGACACACACAGTCTGAAAGTAAAGGGATGGAAAAAGATATTTCATGAAAATGGAAATGAAAAAAAAAAAAAAAAGAATAAGCTTGGATAGCAATACTTACACCAGGCAAAAATACTTTAAAACAAAGGCTATAACAAAAGACCCAGTAATCCTACTTCTGGATATTTATCCAAAAAAAACCCCAAAATGCTACTTTGAGGAGATGTGTGCATCCGTATGCTCATTGCAGCATTGTTTACAATGGCCAGGATGTGGAGGCAGCCTGGGTGTGCATCAATGGATGAAGGGATAAAGAGGAGGTGGTACATATATACATCGGAATATTACTTGGCCATGGAAGGGAATGGGTTCTTGCCATCTGCGGTGGCGTGGATAGACCTGGAGGGTATTGTACTGAGTGAAGCGTGTCAGACAGAGAAAGGCAGATGCAATGTGATTTCACTGATATGTGGAATCTAAAGAACAAGATAAACAAACAAAACAGAAACAAACTCAAAGACACAGGGAACATTTTGATGGTTGCCAGATGGGAGGGGCATTGGGAGGATGGGAGAAAAGGGGAAGGAGTTAAGAAGTACAAATTTGTTGTTACTAAGTAGTTATGGGGATGTAATGTATAGCATACGAATATAGTCAATAATATTGGAATAACTATTTATGGTGTCAGATAGGTACTAGGTTTATTGGGGTGATAGATGGGAGAGGAGTTGGGGACAGGGTGAAAAAGATGAAGGGATTAAGAAGTATAAATTAGTAGTTACAAAGCAGTCATAGGGATTAAAGTAAAACATAGCGAATACAGTCAATAATATGGTAATAACTATGTATAGTGCCAGGTGGGTAGGGGATCACTTCTTAAATTATATAAATGTGTATATGCTGTACACCTGAAATAATATAATATTGAATGTCAACTGTAATTGAAAAATTAAAAAAGGAGGGGAATACGAGGTTCAAATTTCCAGGTATAAAACAAATGAATCATGGAGATGTAATGTACAGCATAGGGAATATAGCCAATAATATTGTGATAGCATAGTACAGTGTCAGATGGTTGCTGGACTTATGGTGATCACGTCTTTAGGTATATAAATGTTGAATAACTATGGTGTATACTTGAAACTAATATAATATTGTATGTTAGCTATATTTTAGTAAAAATCTCTTGAAAAAAGGAAAAATAGGGGGAGTCTGGTTAGCTCAGGTGGTTAGAGCACAGGCCCATAACACCAAGGTTGCTGGTTTGATCCCCACATGGGTCACTAGTTGCACCCTCTACAACTAGATTGAAACCACTACTTAACTTGGAGCTGATGAGTCCTGGAAAAACACACTGTTCCCCAATAAAATTTCTTTTAAAAAACAAGAAAAGAAAAAAAAATTGATGCCTGGGCTCCAACCCAAAACAACTGACTGAAAATCTAAGGGTAGGGGGCCTGGGTATCAGCATTGTTTTAAGGCTCTTCAGCTGGTTCTAATGTGCAGACTGGACTGAAATCAGTGTAGCTGGTTAAAAGCTCTATAATTTAGTAGAGAGAAAATATAAGAACATAGGGGTAAGATAACTGTGCTGTCATGGAAGAAATCAGGAACCATAAAAAAATGGTAATCTCTTCCAATTACATAGATCACTACATATCACTGTCATATGCACAGTCTCATTCATACCCCAAAGATACACCGATAGTTAAGCCAAGCAGAGACTGGTGACTTTTCTCAGATGAAAGGCAGGTCTGTCAATGCAAACTCAGGTTTTCTGAGTTGAGTATATTGGTCTTTTGGTTTTGCCCAACTGCCTCTTTGTGGATCAGAACAGAGGTTCCCATCCCCAAAAAGCCTAACTGAGAAGGTCTGGAGTGGGTCTGGACATCTGTCATTTTATAAGCACTGACGATTGCTCCACGGCAGGGCTAGGTCTAGAGCAGCAGCTCTAAATTGGGGGTGGGGTGGAGGAATGGGCAGTAGAGGAAGCATGTTGGTCAGGATTACCTGGGGGAATTTTTCAAAATGCACATATGTGAGCCCCATCCCAGGTCTATGGAAGCAGAAGGCAGAGAGTGAATATACTGATACCACTCTCACCTAAGCTGAGAACCAGCACACATGGGGCACTTCTTGGATCCCCAGCCAGGTGGCCACTGGGACCACTGCTACGGTAGTGACCTCTGGCCAGTTGCAGGACTGGGCCCTGGGCAGGGACCGGTGTGAGGGGGGCAGGATGGGTGATTAGATACTGAAAGTATGTAGGAGGGTGCTGAGGGCAGGTGAAGATAACAAAAACAAGCCTGGCTCACTTCAGTTTTGCCCAGGGCTGGCCATAGTACAGAATAACTGCAGCCAAGATTGGGGGGGATAAAAACAGAGCAGTTTTAAAATCACTTCTGTTTTCCCCTGACATCAGGCACATTTGTCAACCTGAAAGTGCCAGGTGCCCATCTGTGCCATGCGTGGCACGTGAAAACACCTGAGTGAAACCACCATCAGGGCGGGCAGAAACTCCTCTTGCAAGGATGCTGGCAGCAGTTCAGCAGGGGTGCCCTTATTGGGCTGATGGAAATAAACAGTGTGGATGTTTACGTGAGGCATCGAAAGACAGAAGGGGCTGGCAGTTCGTTGAAAGGAGACTAGTACCGCTCTCTTCCGGGGGACAGAATAGATAACTCTCAGCTAGTCATTCACCTTGAAAATAGAAGCACTTCGAGAAATGTTAGCTATGGTCATTCTTTCACTTTGTCCTCAGTTTTCCCCTCTTTGGACTGCAGGTTTCTGGAGTCTATTCTGATTTCTCTGGTGGTGTGTTCTGATACAGACTCCCTTTTGAGACAGTGAGGTAGGGTCATGAGCCACGATTTTTATGGTTTAGTATAGAATTCAGGGGTTACTGTGCTTTGGAAGGAAGAAGACAGTCCTGATCCAAAGACTTTGAAGGAATTTGCCTAGTCAATATTTGGTTAATCCTGGTGTACTGTGAGCCAGTGACAAGCATTGAGATAAAAAGAGAAAGAGAAACAGTGAGAAAGGTGTGTGTGTGTGTGTGTGTGTGTGTGTGTGTGTGTGTGTGTGTGTAAAACAGCCACATCGGGTTCTGCCTGATAGTCTATCACTCCTCCTGCTCTGTATCTTGGCAGTTTCTTCTCAACAACTGATACGCCCAAATCCTCCAAAGTGACAGGTTTGTTCTTACCCCTGTGGATTCGAACAGAGGTGCGTCTTACTTGCTCTGTCATACATATAAACTACGTATCAACACTAAGGCTGTACCTTCGCTAATTCCTTCTTTTTGTCTGACATGCTCAGAGACTTGTTAACACTGCTTTATACTATTCAAACTTGAGACAAGTGCTCACCTGGACTGCCCAGTGGAGAGCCGTTTTAAAGTCTTTATCCACAAGGGTGGGGTCTGCCCCCTTCTTCAGCAGCATTTGGGTATGTTGAGGCTGGTTGTGGAAAGCTGCCCAGTGGAGTGGTGTCATTCCCTACAAAACCAAAATCAGAGGGGGCAGAGATGAACATGGGCTATCAGGGAGGAAAATGGAGCTCACACTTTCTCCCCAGGCGAAGGGGGCCATCACCAGATATGGTGGTTACTACCTGCCAGTTCACTCATCCCTCAAATCATTCATTCAACACATATTTATTGAGCTTCTGCTTTGTGCCAAGCAAACAGGTGTTGAGGATACTACAATGAAGGAGATAAACGAGATCCTTGTCCTTATGGGAATTGCACTGTGATAGAGGCAGACAGACAGTAAATACACACAAACGAGCCAAAGGATTTTCCCGACTGCTGAATGCTATGAGGAACACACACGGAGTGCTGTGACAGAATCACCGCAGGGGCAGGGACTATTCCACATGGGCCTGTGCAAGCCCAGCTGGTGGAAGGGAGCAGCAAGCAGCAAGTCATGGAGGCAGGCACCTGTCAGTGGAGGCATGAGAGAATGCCCTCTCCCATTACAAGGACAGGGCACTGTCTGTGTTACTGCAGTATCCATAGTGACTATAACAGAGATTAGAGAAATAGCTGTTGAATGAATGAATGAATGTATGAATGAATGGGTAGGGAGAAGAGGAGAGCCATGTGAGGTGAGGCTGGAGAGGGAGACAGGGAATATGGGATGGGGGATACCGACTCTGTGTAAGGCATTTGGATTTTATTCTAAAGTTAATGGAGAGACAGTTGAAGGGTTTTAAGCGGATATTGACATGATCTGATTTACACTGTTGAGAAGAAATCACTCTGTGGCAGCTTGGAGAACAGGACTGGAGGAGTCAACCTGGTGAATCCATCCCAGTTTCTTTTAGAGCTTAAGGTCACACACCTTCGGCACCATTTAATAATAAGATGAACAATGATGGCCTCTTCTCCTTTCCCACACCTTGTCAATAACCTGAAATATATTTTAAATGACTCTAGATTATGGTAAAGGGGCAAAGAGTGTGGGCATCTTTAAAGTTCCTCTTTTTACATTCTTCTCTGCAGGTGCTAAAAAGGTAAGAGTGACTACCTTAGCCTTCTTTGCTCCATCCATGATGAGATGAGTGGAAGAGATGGGCCTCAGCCTAGTTAGGAGTGCAGGGCTAATATCCCAGAATTAATATTTATTGATCCAGAGACATTTATGAGTTCTTATGTGTTATCTCACTTAATCCCCCAATCTTCTGCATTAAGTCTCGTGGTGAAGTCTGCTATGAGTTCAACAACCTCTGTTTCCTCTTCCTACAAGGCCACACAGTCTGCTTTCCACAGCCTCCCAGCAGACAGGTGTGGCCATGAGACTGAGTCCTGACATGGACAAAAGAGACAGAAGGAATGGAGTCCTCCTCTGGGCCTGCAGAGAAAAAAACAAGCGTGCCCTCCTGCCCCCCCCCACCCCCCGTGGTCTTACTTGCATTCTCTTTCCTTATCTGGCAACTGAATGCAGAAGAGGTAGAGAAGTCCCTGAGTCCGTGAGTGAGCACGGAACTGAATCTAAGGTTTGAGGTTTGTAGGGCACTGGGAGTAAATGTTAAATCCCCTTGGCCAGTTCTATATTCTAAATCATTAAATTATGGGCTGTTTCCAAGTTTCAAGTTTCAGTCATATAACACTGGGCCTCCAGAGGTACTCTTAAGGACATTTCAAGAAATTGGCTCCATATGGAAAAGAATGCTGGTCTAAAAGCAGTGGAACTTGGGCCGGCCGAGTGGCGTGATGGTTAAGAGCTGGCTTGGGATGCCAGAGGGCCCCCGTTTGGATCCCACATATGAGGGCCATTGACACTGCCCTCTACAGCTAAGATGCTGAACAACAGCTCAACCTGGAGCTGGGCTGCCAGGAGTCGCAGGCGATGGCGTAGGCTGCAGCCCCTGCTGCAGTGGGTTGCCATGGGCTACCGTGTGTAGCCAGCAGCCAACGTGAGCGGCCAGCAGCCACCGTGAACAGCCATCCAGAAGCCGGCGACTGATCTGCCTCACCCGGAAAGAGCGCAATGATGGTGCCAGCTTGGGCCAGTGAAGCAACGTCCTCCACAACTAGACTGAAGAACAAAAGGACAGCAACTTGTCTGTTCCCCTCCCCCCAATTCCCCAACAAAAATCTTAAAATAAATAAATAAATAAAAGCAGTGGAACTTCTTTGTTCTTATTCCATCAGTTGAATATTTACTTGTGATTCAGAATAGTTTGATGCATTTCAGTAGGTCGTCTTTATTTTTAATTTGGCCCACTGGAATTAGAAATCTGAACAAGAGAATCAGACTTTTTATTATGCATGAATTTCTCCTTTTGTGCTGAGTCCCATTTGTTTCAGTCATTGGCTTCCTCATGAAGTGATACCAGTATTCAAGGTTAAAGACATCAAGACAATTCTGAAGTCACTGGAGTGTAAGCTTCATGAGGTCAGGCCCTTTTCTGCCTGTCTGAATCCCTGTAGCCTAGAGAAGTGCCATGCACACTGTACATGATATTGGATTGTCAGAAAAGTCATGACGTATTTTTCTGTTTTTTGTTGCAAAAATGCGTCATGACTTTTCCAGCAACCCAAGAAATAAATACTCACTAAGGGAATGAATGACTTCTTACTGTTCATGATTGCATTTTTTTGCTTTTGTAAAATGCGACCTTACTTTTTAAAATCATACACACGAAGAAAGGCAGAACATGACTCCTCCTTTATGGAAATGAACTTGTCTGATATGATCACTGTTACCAAATCATTGATGGGAACTCTTTAGAATTTTCAATGAGAGCTCCAAGTGAGGTAGACGGCAATCACTGTGTCCAGAGACATGATTTAGTAATGTGAGAATTCAGTGTGAAAATGTGGTTGTGAATTAGACTGTGATTATACACTATTAACCCTTATCTCCTCAACACAGCTGCTAGACTTAAAGAGTTATCTCAAAACAACAACCCGTCTCTTCAAAAAGAAAAACAAAAACAACCAACTACTGCATGCTTTGGTAAAGGAGTGGGCTGGGGGGGAGGAACACTACCATTTTTCGTATACCTACTTGGTACCAAGAGCTTTCTATCTGTTACCATGTCGCCTCACTGAATCTTTACAATAACCCTAAGGTATTTCTAGCAGTATTACAGGTGAGGACACTAAAACACAAACAGGTTAAATAACTTGCCTAAGGCCATTGACTGGGTACAAGGCAGGGTTGGGATTCAAATCCAGTCTCTCCAACTCTGGAGGAAAAGGCTCTTTCCACACATCATGCTGGTAGATTTTCACTTTGGAAATGAGCTCAGAGGCTGAAAAATTCTTTTCTCTGTGACTCTTATCTGGATTTAGAGTCTTCCCATTTCCTAGAGTGGTGGTTCTCACTAGTGTAAGGGTTGTCACCCTACATTATTATTTGTTTCATTTATCATTGCTTCGAGAACCCTCCTAAAAGTGCAACAAATCCCAGAGATTTGGGATCACTGTTAGGAAAAACTGTTGATCCTCTAAACGGCCCCAAATTGAGACATGAAGTATATTATATATAAATGCATTGTATATTTACATTACAATATAAATACATTGCAAACATTCAGTCAAGTTGAGGGAAATTTCCTGTTGCTATTTTTTTCAATTGGGTTAGTGAGAAATAAAACTAAATCCTCTTACAGTGAGTAATATGAAAACCAAAATTTCCAAAATCAGCTCAAGTACAGCTCTTGGTATTGCACAACACACTTTGTTTAGGAACTTTTTCTACAAGTGCCCCCTCCTTCTTTCAGCTTCTGTTGAGCTGGCAGGCAACATCATTGCATTTTGTTAGGACTCTGGTGGCCATTTACAGGACGACTTCAGGCTTGGTGATTGGCATGTGCCCTGGGCAGTGACAGCGATCATGATTCAGCTGTGATGCACTTAAAGGCAGAGACTGGGGCCTATTCATCCTATGTACCCACTGCCCCAAGCACACGGTAGGGGTTCAAGAACCGTTTACAAGAAGAATGCATGAGTGAATTGGAGGTTATCAAGACTCCCTTAGACTCATGGGGGAGCATAAAATAACAGAGTCTGTCAAATGTATCCAAATTGTGGAGACCTTTGCTACCAAATGCTTGCAGGGGTTTCACTGGGAACCCAGTTGGGCCGTCATAACATCTAGGGGCTGAAAATCTTGGAGTCACTGACAGGCATGTTGCAACAAACACCCAGATGGCCCTGGTGACAGAAGAATTTCACTTTTTGGAAAAACAAAAAGTATTAGTTCAAAGAATGAAGAGTAACTCCCATTCAGTTAAGAACAAAACTCTCCAGCATGTTGTGAAGGAAAATGTTAAGTTGTAGTTGATTGTGGATCTATTTTGAGATTGCTGATAAGACTAAATGATGCTGTAACTGTTGGTGGCATAGCCGGTTGCTTTGGAACAGCGCTCTTCTGCAAATGAGTAATTCTGAGCCTTGAGCCTGTGCCACCCAAGTTTCAGTTAAGGGCTTACAAGTCCTATCAGTTTCTCAAAACTTTTTTTTTTTTCAGAAACCACTGCAACTTTTGTGTTTTCTGAACCAGAAATCTGATTAAGTGCTTAGCAGTTTTCAAGGTTTCAGAACAGCACTTTTTTTGGCAGGCTGCGGCAGACACTAAAAAGCACGGAGAGAAATGTGTGAATTTTTCTTGAGTTTAATAATTTGATTATCTATTATCTATATATTTTTTGGGGGGTCTACTATATGCAAGTTACTAGATGAAAAACATGGTCAGCCTCTAGAGAGACTTTTGGGGGATGGAGAAGAGAAGAAAATGAGGGCTCCTAGGTATTAGTGACTCCACTACATTTTTTTGAAGTCTTCATTTTTAGGATAAAATTTCCGGTGCATTTAAAAAACAATGTTCTATTATTTTACCTTTTGCTAACTGTAAAGTAAAAAGATGTCTTTAGCCAGGGACTGCTTCTTTTGATTTTGCCTTTATAGTGTATGTACAATCTCTGCCTGTGGTTATGTTTTAGGAATGTTATAAGTGGATGTAGTGCTAAGAATTACATCCAAAAGTTCACATCTGTTTTTGCAACTTGGATTTATTTTCTCAAGGACTGTTGTAATGGAAGATTGCCACAAAAATCTACTTAAATCAGAACGTGCATTTAAGGTAGGATCAACAATAGATCCTAAATACCATGCCTAACAGTGCTTCTTTGGATGAATGGAAAGTTGTAACCCAGATGCCGATAGCTCATACCCCCTCTTGATGGTGCTTTTCCTGTTAAAGCTAAAATGAGAGCAAGAGAAAGAGGTTAAATTCCAGGAGTCTAGCAACTTGATACCTCCCTGTAGCTGCAATGGAAAAGCCTTTCTCTATGTCAGTGACTCCTCTGAGGTCCAGAAGAACAAAGGCACAAAGGACAATCTGACCCATCTCCCTTTTTCTACAGTGCTAAACTCTACAGGGTGGATGGCTTCTAAATCACTTTAATAAGTAGTGCGGTTAATTAAAGAGAAAAAAAACCCCCCAAAACCCAACAGATCACTGGAACAGAACAAAAAGTTCAGAAATGGAACCACATTTTTAAAAAAAGAAATCTTGTAACAAACTAAAAGCATCTCATAGTCATGTCCCTGGGGGTAGGGGAGGTCTTTAAAAAAGATGCCAAAAGCAAAAGTAGCAGTTGATGATATAATATTGTAAAATTTCTGTACAAGAAAAGACATCATGAACAGTTCTAAAATAAGCAGCACACTGAAAAATATTTGCAACCCAACAGCCAACAAAAGATTAATGCTCAAAATATAAAATAAACACCTATGACTCCATAAGAAAATGACAAGTAAACCAAACCCAGAAAGATCTAAACAGGCAAGTCACAAAGAAGATATTAAAATGACCATTACACCTATGAAATGATACTCAATCTCAGTAGTTATCAGAGATATGCGAATTAAACTAACAATAAGAAAATCCAACAACGGGAAACCAATAACAAACCTTTTTACACTGTGGGTGGAGCTATAAATTGATAGTCACAATTGATTGGAGAACAACCGGGCATGGGTATTAAAAGTAAAAATTTATACCCTCTACTGCCCAACAATTCTAGAGCAGCAGTTCTCAACCTGTGGGTCATGACCCCTTTGGGGGTCGAATG